CTCCATCTCGTGGGGGGACGCCCTACACTTCGCCTACCGGTACGAGGCAGCCACTCGAGAACCTTTCTTCCCCATCGGTTGTCGGTTCTTCGAGCTATATGGCCGGCCCACTGCCACTTCAGCTTACTAATCCGTTGGGCTATGTCGGTTACTCTGGTTCTATTGCGGATATCCTCATTCCTAAGTTTATCACGCAGAGAAACTCCGAGCATAGCCCTCTCCATAGCTCGCTGAGCGACCTTGAGCTTCCTCATCCGGCCAGCAGTGAAGGACCACGTCTCAGTTCCATAAGTCATCACTATCACTGGGAGGGCGACCATCTGTCCTAAGGAGGTGTCGGATTTATCGTCCACAAGTCTCTCGTTAACAACGTTGTAAAGATCGGGAGTGTGTCGACGAGGGTTGCGTACCTTATACTCAGAATCACCAAACGGTATTCGCTGAAGGTCATACAGGTTTACGCACCAACCTCGGCACACCCCGATGGGGAGGTGGAGGAAATGTATGAGGATATCTCTAGAGCCATGCATTCCTCCAAAACCCAATATACGGTGTTAATGGGAGACTTCAATGCAAAACTAGGCACAAGAGAGAACGGTGAGCTGAAAGTAGGGAAATTTGGAATAGGGCAACGGAACCCAAGGGGCCAGCAGCTGGCCGACTTCATGGAGAAAGAGGGACTCTTTATGATGAACTCTTTCTTCCAGAAGCGGCCCCACAGGAAGTGGACCTGGTCGAGCCCCGACGGTTCCACAAAAAATGAGATTGACTTCATTATGACGACCAGACGACAACTGTTCAGTGATGTCTCCGTGATCGCGAGGGTGAAAACTGGTAGCGATCACCGAATGGTTAGAGGCACACTGAACCTAAACGTTAAGTTGGAGAGGTCTCGTCTAATGAAGTCAACGCTCCGTCCCCCTCGTGCTCTGTTCCAAAGTCCCGAAACCTTTCAGCTCGAGTTACAAAACCGTTTTCAGTGCCTAGAAGACTGCAATGAAGTGGACGATATGAATGACAAGCTCGTGGAAACTGTCCATGCGGTCGGAGCTAAGTTCTGCAAGACCCGCCGCAGAAGAACACAAAAACTCTCCGATCACACTCTTAATCTCATGGCTGTTAGACGGGAGATGAAGCTACATTCTTCAACAGACTTGACAGCATACAGGCATCTGAACAGACAGATCTCCAAATGCATGCGGCGGGACTTACACAACTTCAATACAGCTCGTATTGAAGAAGCGATCGAGCGGAACCAAGGCTCCAAAGTCTTTGCCAGAGAGCTGTCTGCCAGAAAGAGCCACCTGTCAAAGCTGAAGACAGAATGTGGCAGCATCGTTTCCGGGACACCTGAGATTTTGAGTGAGTTTGAGAGGTTCTATGGGCAGCTGTACACGTCATCGTTGGAGCCACACGCAAGTGTGAGTAACGATCCAAGAGCGAGTCTCATCCGACACTATTCCGAAGATATCCCGGACGTCAGTCTGAGCGAGATTAGAATGGCTCTCCAGCACCTTAAAAACGGTAAGGCCCCAGGCGACGATGGAATTACAGCGGAGCTTCTGAAAGCGGGTGGAAGACCGGTACTTGAAGTCCTTCAGAAGCTCTTTAATTCCGTCCTCCATGGTGGCATTACACCGGAGGCGTGGAGCAGAAGTGCGGTGGTCTTGTTCTTCAAGAAAGGTGACAACGCTCTCTTGAAGAACTACAGACCGATTTCCCTTCTGAGCCGCGTCTACGTGCTGTTTTCGAGAGTCATTACGAATCGTCTCGCGCGCAGACTTGACGACTTCCAGCCTCCCGAACAAGCCGGTTTCCGAAAGGGCTTTAGCACCATAGACCACATACATACCCTTCGGCAAATTGTACAGAAGTCCGAAGAGTACAATTTGCCACTATGTCTGGCGTATGTGGACTATGAGAAAGCCTTTGATTCCGTCGAAATTTGGGCGGTGCTGCAGTCAATTCATTATCTCGTGTTTAATTTTATTTAATACACTTCCGAATATTTTTACATTTTTATATTATTTATTATAAAAGCCTGTGCTTAACCATTATCAGACTTGATGGTATGTGGTGTTGTAGCCGAAGATATTAAAACGCTCTGACTCAGCTTAACAAAAGCCTATTCACTCTTGCCTTGACGAAAATCACATAGTAAATGACAGATGCTGGCAATTTATTCATTAAAGGGGAATGCCCAATTCTGGCCATGAAACGCCCAACAATTTGCATTTGTTAAAAAAATATATCTTTTTTTATGGTAATTAATCGCAGTATTTATGTATCCAAAAAAGATTGCAATATTTTTCCACAAAAAAAAAAGTACCGAAAAGATAAAAATGAAATTAGGTAAATCCGCAAGTCATTAGTTAGTGGGTAAAATAAAAAGTGTTGCCAATCACAAATCTCGTAAAAAAAAGTCGATTATGTTTTTTCAATCGATTTTTATGTTGTCATTATTATAATGGTAATATTATTTTCGATAATTGTTATGATGTTATGATAATTAAACAAGCGAATTGCTAGTTGATTTACTATGAACTCTTTATAACATAACAAAAACGCTACTGCACAATTTAACTGTTATTTTTATCTGTTCTTAAAAATACATTTAAAATGGAATTTAAATAAATAAAACAAAACATATTTTAAAAGGCGTGCAGAACTTAAGGCGAATCAAAGATTATTCTTTTTATGAAATTATAAATCGATTAAAAAAATCACTATCTATTTATCGATTTTATGTCTGTTAATTGGCAACATCGAATTTGACAGCTAGGCCCATTTCATAATTATCGAAACTAAATAGTCACAAGTCGAATGACTTTGCATTTGTGTTATATTGTTTGTTTTCTCGCGGATTTGTTGTCTAAGTAACGAATAAACTTTCTAAATGGATTCCGATAATTCTTCTCGCCATATTGACCACGGCCTGAAAATGGATCCCGCTCCCACTTCTTACGATAACCTCTGCACGAACTTGGACTCGATATCCACTGTTAACGATGACCCCAGCTTTCCGTCACCCAGATTTCTTCCTAGCTCTCAGTAACTCACTCAAGAACACATTAACGCTGTGTCAATTGTGGTTTAAATGTCACGAAAATACGAAGTGATTTGTTGTTAAAAACTGTTCTTGTGAAAATAAAAAACCTTTATATCTTAAAAATCCGGACTTTTTTTAAACCAATTCCTTAACCATTTCATTATTTTAATTGCATATTATCATTTCCACATGCTTTTATATGTGGGCACCTATGGCCGAAGTGTCTATGAACGGTGGGCATTCCCCTTTGTCTCGCGCCGTAATCCAAAAAGTGTCACTGACAAAAAAATTAAAAAAAGAAAAGTTATGAATTTAAGAAATAATAAATATCTTTTCTATTAATTGTATTATCATTTTATATTTCAATCTTTTGGAAAAATGGTTTAAATTTGCTATTCTCAATTATTGCTATGAACAATGTATTTAATACATAATTAGGTTGTTGGTGCATAGCATAGATAATATAAGTCATAGATTGCACTTTTTTTAAGTATAATGTAAGTCGATGGTGTAACTGCACACTATCTTGTCCGTCATTCAATGCGATAAGAAGTGATGAACACTCAAAAATCGTCGATATGGTTGACTTGACAACATGCTATAGATAATTTTGATGTTCTTGAGAGGTTTTTACAAACTCTAACAAGTTTTAAATATTTTAGTATCAGTTAGTGAAGACATTTTTTGGGTTGCGGGAATCCAAATGATTTAGGTCAGTTCCGATTACGACTGATACTCATTATTAAAGAAAGACGGTGACAAAATAATAAACGTATGCGGTTTAGTACCCGACGTCTACTTTTTTTTTAAAAATAAAATTGAAATTCCATGCGAAGTCACAGTCACGGATACTTGCAACCAATTTAAAAGAAAAAATGCTCATGCGTCACATTACACCACTAAGATGGAACGCCTCACAGCCTCTAACAGAGTAGTGCACGCACTGGAGCTTGACGACACAAATCAGTACGGTGGTAGCTACTCCGACGGATTCCTAGCACCTTCAATTCATTCAATAGCGTGAATGCAAAAATAAATTGACCATCACGGTGGCCATGTTAAAAAATAATATGTTTTTGTAATTCTTTATTGATTTAGATAAAAGCCTTGGCATGGATGTTTTTTCAGAGATCATTCTTTACTAATGTTACTATTTCTTAGTAAGCTTTTTAGTGGTTTGCTGTAGTTTTTAGAGGATGCAGTCTAGTTGCATGTGAGAGTAAGGTTTTAGTTTTATATTCTAAAATTTTATCAAAATAAGAAAGTAGTAGGATGAGTAATCTATTCCAAAGTAAGTAAATACGTACATTTAAAGTTAGTTTAAACGAAAGTTTACTTAAATGATTCAACTTACAACAAATATTTCATTCATGTTATATACATATATATATATATAGGATTTGTTATACAGTTATTATCATCCACTGAATCTATTATTCTACATATATTGAAGAATATTTAAAAGTAAATTACGTCTTTTGAAGTGAATAATAAAAAATAATGAATAAATTCTGAAATGTTTGTTTAATTTATACTGAACGGAGTTATACGATTCATTTTTAAATTAAGTAGGCTAATTCAGGGTAAGTTATAAATATTTAAACTTTAAATAAAAAACACAAATTAGAAGAAAGAAGTCTCACGGAAATATGCGAACGAAAATTTATGTATGGAATTTGACAGTAAATGTCAAATTCCATAAGCTAAGTTACTTCTTAATTTAGAAGGCCTATTCTTAATCCATAGTTTAAGTCCGAGACTATCAATAAACCATGCTTTGTAAATTAACGGTCTCTTTTTATTAGAAAAATAAATAGGCTAGTGTTAGACTAAAGTTGTCATCAATCATGAACCACATCTTTTCCTACTTTAGAATGCGTTGACCTATACAATACCTAACCTTCAGATGCTATGCAAGCACATTTGAATTAACTTAAAAAAATATTTGCAGATGATGCTGAAGATACTTGGAGAGTTAGCCCTCGTTGGGGCTATAGCGTCAGTGTTCATAGTTGCGGCACAGGGGCGCGCAGCAGAACGAGCTGCAGAGGAAGCAGCGGGCAGGGAATACATAAGGAGCCTGAACGAACTCACGTCTAAAGCCAAGAATAAGAAAACCATAGCTAGCTGGAACTATGAGAGTAATATCACTACTTACAACGAGGAAGTACAGGTAAAGACAAGTGATAGAGCCACGCTGCGACTATGCAATGGTTGTAGCACGATTAGGGTCGGCTCGACGAGATAGGACCACGTTCTCACAGATTATCAGCGTAAAATAGTTGCTTAATGCTGTTGTGTTTCGTATGGTAAATGTAGAAGACCCTTTTTGAGGCATTTCTTAGGAGTAACAACTCATCTATGGCCTATGTCTACACCATCCACTTACCATGACCGGAGACCCTTTTTACTGGACACGAGCCTGAGAGGATTACAACGCATCTGTATTTTGATTCTTAATCGCAGATAAATGTAACGCACAAGCATTTCTACAAATAAAACCACTGTCATTGTTATGACAAATGCGTACTTCTTTATTACAGATGCAAGTATTTTTAGAAGTAGCCGAAGAAGAGAAAGAGTACTGGAAAGAGACAATGACATACTTTTGGAATGAATTTGAAGATGAGGACTTGAAGAGGATGTTCCAGAAGTATTCAAAGCTGGGAACATCCGCTCTTCCAGAAGATTTGAATCAGCGGCTTATACAAGCCACCAATGACATGCAGTCCACATATGCGAAAGCGACTATATGCGATTACAAGGATAGGACAAAGTGTGACTTGCATGTCGAACCCGGTAATAGAAAGAGCATATTAAAATTTGATATTTCCTTCTATGTACTTCCGTAAGCCTATTCAAGTCCACTGCTGAACATAGTTTTTGCTGACCATGCCATAGCTGCCACGCCTGGTAAGCGAGTGGGCAACCGCACTTTTTTATTTTTAGTTTTATTAAGAAGACGCTGCTGCCCATCTCCTGATTTGTTTCCCTGATTTGTTGGTTACTATGTGTACTTCATAAACATGCAAAGTATGTTAGAGTTAGATTACGTCGGTAAGATACGGTAAGGTTGCCTGACCTGGGCCGTAGGTCCTGAATTCGTATCTACATCAAAGCCAGTGCCTGTCTTCGTTTCTTTATTGGCCTCTAAAAGAATACTGCTGGAGGATTTTCACGCTTGGTAATCGGATACACTGCTGGAAATAAATCTCTACTGTTATATGAAGGTGTTGCATTAACCGTCACAATTGGCCGCTGGATGCTGTTCGCCATCGCCGGTCTGGGCATTTTTCGTTTGACATTAACACGATGGTTATGCTGCTATATATCAAAAGCCACGGTATTTTATGGCATTTACAATAGTGCCTGCCTCTTTTGGCAATTAAGAGATGAAATGGAGCGATGAATTCTTTACTCAACCACTTCACGACAGTACATATACTAAAACATAAATTGATGATTATTGAGTTCGAATGTTTTATGTTAGCCCACGTGTTCAGACTGTATAACCTAATAAGAATTTTTCCGATGAAGTAGATCCACCATTTGATTAGAAAACCTCTATGATCGTAGGCCCTTCCAAGAATGCAACCTGGAAATAATTTCATGGAAATTTTTTCCAGACTCACTGGCTTACTATGCTGATTAGATGGGTCGGAGTGCGTAGAATCGATAACGAAATGGTAACATAGATCTTCATTGACGGTTTTTGAAATGGGTTTTACACCATCAGTTGCGGTCGCTAAAAAGTAAGCGCTCTGTCAACCACTAGGGTGCGTGCAAGTGAGGTTGGATATATTTTATGTGGTAGACTCACGCTGTCGACCGTGTAGTGGCGGTTTAATAATCACTTAATATAGTCCCGTGGGTGTCGTAAGAGGCGACAGATGGGAAGAAACCAGGAGATTGCAGCGTTTTTCTAATAAAACGAAATAAATTCTTTCGATTGCCAACTTGTCTGTCAAGAGTGGCAACTATGGCAAATATCTCTCTTATGAGATAGTGGACTCTTGATATGCTGTAACGTTAATTGTAACGGTAACTCACGCTGCATTACAGCACGAATTGTTCTGCTCGATAAGAGAAGTATTATATTGATATACACACACAAAATACCAGCGTGATATTTATTTATTTATTTATTTATTTATTTCATAATTATAACATCATTACAGTTATATTAACCAATGCGATGCTATAACTAACCTAAATATAAGAAAACTAATTACTAATAAATAATGACTATAAAATAATGAATAATAATATTAACATGATTATAAAATAAAATACTAATTAAAAAAAAAAAATTACAATTTTCAACGCATTTGTATGCTGCAATTGTGAACTTCGTCTGACTACATGTAAATATGTCAATATCCTGTGAGATGATATTAACGTAGTGTATGGCACGTGTCAATGGTGCATTCTGAAGCAACTTCGTCCTAGCAGTGGGCACGAAGAGTAACGGGGCGCGGCGACGAGAACACACGTAATTATCAGGTACACGTAGCTTTAGCGCAGCGAGCACTTCTGGGTGATGTATCCATCCACGTAATACGTTCCACACATATTTAATAAGCGCGATGTCTCTCCTCACACTCAGGCGGCTGTAACCGACCATACCCAGTACAAATAGACTCGGATACATGAGTGGAAAACTAGGATAGACTCCGTACTGTTTGAAATATAAAAATCGTGTAAATTTATTTTGAAGTTTTTCGATCATGACACTATATTTGCTTTCATGTGGATTCCAAATAATGGCATTCGTTTCAAGTTGACTTCTTACGAGAGCATTATATAAAATTCTAATAGTAACTACATTACGGAAATCCCTGCACTGCCTTAAGATAAAGCCGAGATTCCTAAAAGCTTTTTTACAAATATTTAAAATGTGGTTACGAAAATTAAGTTCCGGGACCATTTCGACGCCTAAGTCTCTAATGTGTGTAACTCGAGGGATTACGAGGCCGTTCATTTGGTAAGCATAATTATGAGGGGCTTTTGCACGACCATAACTCATGACACAACATTTATTCACATTTAAGCTCAATTTGTTTACTATACCCCACCGTGCCACTCTGTCAATGTCTCTTTGCAAAATTTGACAGTCAGAAGTATTGCTTACTTTCAAATAAATTTTAAGATCGTCGGCAAATAGCAAACACTGTGCCTCCTCAATGACCGTAGGAAGATCATTAACCATTAACATAAATGATAAAGGACCGAGATTGCTCCCTTGACTCACTCCAGAATAAATACAGTACGGTTGCGACTCAAAACCTCCAAAATCCACGTATTGTCTACGTCCACTAAGATAATTTGCAAAAAAATTTAGTAAGCTAGGTGTAAAACCTAACTCGGCAAACTTTACCAACAAAATATCGTTATCAACGGTATCAAAGGCTTTTTGAAAATCAAAATATGCGGTGTCAACCTGGCTCCCAGCATCTACTACTGGCACCACATAATTCATAAAAGACATTAAATTACTCCCCGTACTTCGACCTGACCGAAAACCATGCTGAGCTTCGGTAAGCTGCGGGTACACTTGATTATAAACATATTTATAAATAATCGACTCGAATACCTTAGCGGCTGCAGACAATACGGCTACCGGTCGATATTCATCCACCTTGGAACCCGACCCTCCCTTTAACACAGGAATCACTCGAGTCACTTTCCATATGTCCGGGTAGTAACCTTCTTTTAAACACAGGTTAAAAATATGTAAAAGAGGCAATTCAAACACTGCACAGCAATCTTTTAAAATGAACGGTGGTATCCCATCTGGACCCACGGACTTTTTGGGCTTAAGATGTGTGAGCGCTTCTCGAACATCTTGCACATTTATCCGCCCGATATGAACGCGTGTTGAGCTCAACGCTTGCGCCGCTACTCGCTCCGCTTCTCTCGGATCTAACGTGGGCCGCTCCTTACTATATATTGAATGAAAATATGAAGCAAAATACTCTGCACAGTCCGCATCCCTAATCACTTGCCCGTCTTTCGTAATTTGAGTTCTATTACGTTTTGACTGTTTACTCCTAACGAAATTCCAAAAAGCTTTTGGATCCTCTTTTATATTATTTTGTACCCTACACTGATATAAGCGTGACGTAACAGCATGATGCTGCTGTGCTTCGAATGAGGAGTGACCAAAACCTGTAACCTTTTTTTACTGTTTTTTTTATGTCACCTCGTGATATCGCATCTGCATTCTGATTTTTAATCGAAGATAGATGTAGATGTTAATGGACCACAGCACCATTCATTCACCATCAGGTGAACTGTCATTCTTTATGCATAAACAAAAACTATACTTATCCCACTTTGACATTGTAAGTAAGTAGGTAACCAGAAGTATAATACTTTTATGATTTTACAGAAATAACCGACATCTTCGCTAAAAGTGAAGACCCTGAGGAGTTGAAGTACACTTGGCTGGAATGGCACAAAGCAGCTGGTGCGCCTTCCAGAGCCAGTTTCACTGAATATGTTGAGATGAATAACGAAGCAGCTAAGTTGAACGGTAGAAGCGTTTGTTATTATGATTATGTATATATCTATAATCTCCCTATTAAAGAAGTAATTTAAAACCTAATCAAACGGGCCGAAGCCAAATGTGAGCAGGTGCTAGGTGATGGTGTAAGCATAGGTGACGGATAATGTTGTGAGGAATTTGCGTGTGACTTGGCAGGTGTTGAGAATGACAGCTTTCTGCAGGGTGTGAAGCGTTTATTATTTCTCAATAAGACATTGATAGGTTTGCCATACAGGTAACTCGCAGTTTAACATGGTAGAGCCACACTGCAGCTATATTATGATTGTAGCATGAATTGGTTGGCTCTACCGGGGGAGAGCCACGCTCTCACAGAATACTAGAATTAAATAGCAGCCATATCCTGCTGTGTTTCGTATGGTGGGTGTGAAGAACCGCAGATATTTTTTTACAGGCAACGCATTCAATATTAGTCCTTGACTGCCTCGTAGTAGTGCTAGTGGTTGTAGTAGTGCGACGGCTGATCATGAGTTCCCGGGTTCGTATCGCGGGTAAAAAAACAGTTATTGAGCTTTTGCATCAAGAAACTCTTAGTAACTGCCTGGAGTCAGGAAGCTGGCGGTATCTCACCCCCGTGCCTCGGAAAGCACGTAAAGCCGTTGTTCCTGCGCCTGATTTCTCTCCGGTCGTGTCGGCTTACCGTCCCATCGGACTATGAGAGCGAGGGAATAGAGAGTGCGCCTGTGCTTGCGCTTACACTTGGGAACTATAATCTTGTCCTGCGCCGATGGCTAGTCTCCATTGAGACTGGCCGCCGTGACCGAAATTCGGTCTGGAAGACATTATTATTAGTCCTCAGGGGTGATGACGCAGCTGGGGCCTTTTTTGTATGAAGTTTGCTGCATGTGTCCAAAGGGCTGCAGTGGCCACTTACCATCAAGAGGTCTGTAAGTTCGTTTGTTACTTCTATTTTATTTAGAAAAAAAACTACATTATACATTTGCTCTTTAATTTCTACCTGACGAATTTTCTTTTTTTTAAAGATATTTTTTTTAATACTTCTGTGACCTTATCGTAACAGGCTTTGACACCGCGGCGGAATGGTGGCTCGGTGAATACGAAGCACCAGACAGTGAGGAGCAGTTCATGGCGCTGTGGAAACAGGTCAAGCCACTGTATCAGCAAATACACGCGTACGTCAGGCGACAGTTGCGACTGAAGTATGGTGACAACGTAGTGTCCGCTAAGGGACCTATACCAGCGCATTTACTAGGTAAATGTTGCAATATTTTAGTTCTTCTAAAAGTGCTAGCATATTTAACTATTCCTGTTGTGCTATTCCGGGAAAGTACGATAGTATGCCGACATATATTTTAACAGCTCAGTAGCGCAGTGGCAAAATCGGCTGCGGGTAACGCTGCGGGTTCAAATGCCGCACTGAACAATAATTTGTATGGCTTACAAATAATTGTTAAAGGATGTTTGTCCTTGTTTACATCATAATGTGTAGTTAATGTATGATAAACGAGTTCATATATTAACATATATTGACCACCATAACTAGTTTCTTTGTCATTTCAATTTTAATGCTTTAATGGAACACCATGACGTTTTCTACTGACGTCACAATTCGATTCAATGGGAACATATTCCCGGTACACATTCTATGGGGGAGATCTATATTCAGCAGCAGTGAACTTTTGATAGGCTGTAATAAATACAAGGAATAAAATCAGCTACATTCTGAATCTTCAAAATTATAATAAACACTTTATTACCAATTCGATGTGTTTTTAATGTGTCCTATTTTTTCTTAAATAAAAAATGTGTTTCCTTGCAGGCAATATCTGGGCTCAGACATGGGGCGGAGTGGAGAAATTCACAAGACCATATCCCGATAAAGCAGACGTTGATGTGACAGCTGCTCTGATAAGTCAGGTAATTAATAACTATTAACAAAAGTACCATAGCGATAAGGGAGATATCGTGAAAAAACCTGCACGTTTGGTGAATAAAATTATTACGAAGACTTGGAAAGTGCGCTTAATAATGCATAAGTATTAATAATAATAATTAGTACAATAACAAAAATAATAAAATAATTAAGAATATTAACACAAACATTAAATGAGAATAATAATCACAATACATATTAGGAATTACGTATAAGTATAGTCGAACCGCTTAGGAAATATATATATATATATATATATATAGTAAAGTTTCTTTAACTTACTTTAAAACATTTTATGTACAAAATATAAAGTTCAATTTCTTTGTTTTAGAACTACACAGCGTTAAAAATGTTCAAAACTGCAGAGGAGTTCTTCACTTCACTAAATTTAAGCGGTATGCCAGACTCGTTTTGGGAGAAATCGATTATTGAAAAGCCGAATGATGGACGAGAGATGGTGTGTCACGCTTCCGCATGGGACTTCTTCGACGGTGAAGACTTCAGGTATTTATTTACTTTTTCTACATAACCATCATCTTAATCAGTATAAAATACTGTTACTGGAAGACTCCTTCTCTATCTAGGAATCTGTCAGGGTAGGAACCACTCTTGTTACCTATTCGTGCTGCCAAGCAGCAATGCTCGCACTGCTGTGTCCCATTTTGAAGGGTATAGAGGAGCCAGTATGAGTTCGTTTGTCACTTCACTTTTATATAATCTGCTAGAATTGCGTGTAATCGCCACGTTTGATTAGTAGATTGGCGATGGAATGGTCACGCACAATCTGAGTGCCCGACAGGTGTCCGCCCTGCTTGAGCGTGGAACTTGCGATGGGTATGAAAGTCTATCTGTGATGTCAGTGCTGTTGGCCAGTTGGCTTTCAATCTCTTGGTCTCAGGGATCGCGGCCTCTACAGGCCTAAAGTCTTTTACTAAACCTCACCTAACCCGTTATTTATGAAAATGTGTCAGATTAGCTTTTTGTTATAGAGTAAGGGTAACAAACGAGCACACAGTCCACCTGATGATAAGTGGTTGCTTGGACCCATAGACATCTACATGTATCCTCAATAAAGAATTAAAATGCAATTTTTTTATAGGATAAGGGTGACAAACGAACACACAGTCCACCTGATGGTAAGTGGTTGCTGTGACCCATGGACATCTACATCTATCCTCGTTTCCGAATCAAAATGCAGATGCGCTGTCACCCGTGAGGACTAAGAAGGAATGCCTCTTTTCCAGTAAAAAGGGTCTCCGGTTCTCTACACTCACCATACGAAACACAGCAGTGTTAAGCTGCCATTTTACGCTGGATAGTAAAAGCGAAGAAAACTTTCATGTCCTCCATTCAGGCCAGTCTGAACTGAGACTAGAAATCTGCGCCGGTAGGGATTATGGTGCCTGAATATGTGCACAAGCATAGGTGCTCTTTCTGTTCCATCACTCTAACGCTGCGTTTCCACCAGAGATTTGTAAGGATGTGTAGCGAGGGACGTGTTTGTTAAAAGTCAATTGAATCACTTCATTTATTTAGCCTCGCTCAGCGCAGCTTTAGTTGAAACAGCTCAGCGGAGTGAGGTTTTTGTACATATAAAACAAGGGAAGGATGTGTGTGAGGTGTGTGTTGCGAGGCATATATGCTAGGGACGGACGCGACGTGACAAAAATAGCAGTCACTAGATGGTGTTTGTCAGTGGTAGCTGTATAGTGTACAGAGAACATGGATCAGTGGACAAAAACACTTTAGTACTGCTCTTTTGACACGTAGAAGACAGCACAAATTTTGGATAAGTAACCATATTAAATATCATCGATAATATGGAACGACCCCGCTCACAGCCTTGCACCGCTCATCCGGGCACCGTTTCACAGCGTCGCTACACATCCTCGCACAGCTCAGCGGCCTAGCACATCTCTTGTGGAAACGGTCACACCGTTCCACAGGCTCGCTACGCATCTTCGCACAGCCCAGCTACTTCGCACACCAATAGTCATCATCATTATCTAATAGTGCGATGCGACGGAGAGAACTGTACCGATGAACAGTATATTCTTACGAATACACGTCTTATCCTAGCGGTATATTGTTACAACTATTCTAATAATATATGACTATCGGCTGGCATTTACGACCATTAGACTGATCATGAAGTTGATTTGTCCACAAAAAGTAAACAACTTATTTTAACAAAATTAATTTATTTTCAGAATAAAGCAGTGTACAACCATAACGAATAACTTCTTCAAAACAACGCATCACGAGATGGGGCACATACAGTATTATTTGCAGTACAAAGATCAGCCAGTTATCTACAGAGCGGGTGCTAATCCGGGTAATTCATGTTTTTACATAAAAATGACAAATTGCATACGTTCCATTTTTAAATCACAGACTTTCTCCTTGGCAGCGCAGAGCTATTCGGCTGTGAATAACGTGTTGTACCACCTAGTAATAATTGTAATATTTTCACGACACGTTGTACTGCCCTTTCAGGAAGGTGGGTGGGGTGTATGAGTTTAACACCGGACTTTTTATGGTGTACATATAAAATTATCGAAATATGTCTATAAACAACTCTTGATTATGTGATTTTCTTTTTTTGTTTATAATGTAGTAAAAATAACGTGTCGTCAAGTTCTTTTTATACATGGTAGAGCCACACTGTAGCTATATTATTAGGTTGTAGTGCGAGTACGGGTTGACTCGACCGGGGTAGAAACACGTCGTTTCAAACAGAATACCAGCGTAGTGACTCCTCTACACTACTCGCGAAGTAGATCGAAGTTACACGAAGCGTCTCACTACACTACTCGGCGTACGCCAGTTATGAATATTTTTTTTATATAAATATTAAATATGTAGCTTTCTACATAATTATTTATTTAGTTAACGCATTGACGTCGTACTGTTCACACAATTTGGTACCTATAGCAGCTGCCTCTTGAACGTTATTCATATTAAGAGTGCGGGAGACTCAAGATGACTGAGCTCTTCGCGAAGTAGCACAAGTGTGTAGTGACGTTCTTCGGACTGTGATCGACTTCGACGAGCACTTCGTCGTAGTTACTTCGCCCGTAGTGTAGAGGAGGCATAAAATAACAGTTTAATACTGCTGTGTTGTATGGTGAGTGTAGGGAACTGTAGACTGGCCCGCACGCCGCTTGTAATTTCTCATCTGCTATACACGAGTCACAGTGTAGTGACGAGTGTATGGTGTCTGGTTCCACACTCACTATACGAAACACAACAACATTAGGCTTTTTTACGCTTTTTTAGTACTGTGTCGGTCGAGCGGACCCATTCGTGCTTAACCACACAGCTGCAGCGTGGCTCTACCGTACCGTACATAGATAATCTAATAACCCATGTCACCTCATCGGTGTCGTAAGAGGTGTCAGAGGAAAACTGAAACAGGAGAAGAGCAGCGGCATTTTCTTTATAATACAAGCACAATATTATAAAACTGCGGTTGTCGACAAACTTACTGAGCGCAGCAACCATAGATATAATGGCAACTATGGCAAAATACCTATAATAGGTAGTGATGATCGTTAAATTCAAATTTATAATCATTCCAGGATTCCATGAAGCTGTCGGTGACGTCATCGCATTATCTGTGTCCACGCCCAAGCACCTGAGAGTTATGGGGCTGTTGGAGGATGGGCCAGACGACCTGGAGTCTAACATCAACCAACTTTATAAAATGGTAAGATATTAATGACATGAAAGATTCCGGTGTCGTTTACTGTCGACTAGCCGCCATTATACGGTGTTCTCTCCTTCAAACTATGATTTAAGAAAAGTTTTTCTCACGAAGCAAGTTGTTCGCGCGCGACACCACAGTCTTTGCGGAGTTTGACAATTGCTGTCAAATTCTTTCAGTTATCTATTCAATTATATAAAAGTTGATATTTGTTTGTTCGTATGCGTTGCCATACCGTTCATCAGATTGCGGTAAAACTTTGTCAACTTATTGCTTGCTCTTCTTACAATAGGTGGCGCGCGTAATGCACCGGTAAATTTATTTGAAAGTTACATATCATTCAAATTCATTGCATGTATTATCAATTAAACAAAATAACTCTTCTAAATTTAAAAATATATTTACACAAATATTTCTTCTGCGGCAGAAATGCGCCGGTTCAAAAGATAAAATAGTCTTAGAGTTTGGTTTATTAACTGTAACTGTATTGAGTAACTTTTATGTAAGTAGGTTAAGATACATTATCACACAACCTTCCGTCAAATGGTCCATTGGTTGCGTTAAAACTTAGTATTAAAATGACTATAGCCAATAATCAAGTAATTTATCTTACCAAAAGTCTCTATTCATCCTTTGGATGATTACCTTTTGAAATATACTAATAAAATCTTGATTAAAATCGAGATATTAACAAAGATCGCTTACGTGTTAGAGCCATGTTGTAGCTGTATATAGCTGCAGTACGATTTTGTCAGTTCGACCGGGGAAGGACCACGCTCTCCCAGAATATCAGCGTAAAATAGCAGCTTATTGCTGCTGTGTTTGCTGTGACTGTAAAGAACCGGAGACCCTTTTAACTGGAAACGAGGCATTCCATCTTAGTGCTCGGGGATGACAACGCATCTGAATTTTGTTTCGCAAACGAGGATAGATGTAGATGTCTATGGACCACAGCAACCACTTATCATCAGGTGAACTGTGTGCTCGTTTGTCACCCTATCCTATCAAAAAAAGAGAATGATGGTGCATATACACGTAAGATTGTCGTTTTAAATCAAGACTAGTTTTAATTATAGAAGTAAATGTCTATAGGCCACAGTATCCATTTACTATCACGTGGCCTTTGTGCTCGTTTGTCATCCTCATTTCATAAAAAAACGTATATGACACGAGAGTAGTAGACCCATGCAGCCACATGTTGTGGTTGTAGCAAGAAAGTGTCGGCTTGACTGGGAAGGACAAAATACCAACATAATTTCTTTTAATAATATTGAAGGGACAATTAGTCCACTTGATGGTAAGCGACTACTGTAATATCTATGGACACCTGCAACCAACTACAAGCTCTTTGCTCGCTTTCTTTAGCCAACGGATGCGTTGTCACCTCCGAGGTCTAAGATGAAATGCTTCACATCCTGTAATTTTACTGTCTGTAAGCCCTTTACACTGAAACACAGCAGTGTAAGCATTACTGTCTGTCGGTAGAGATAAGTAAGAGATTGTTTCTTACCCAGTCGGATTTATAGGCAGATAAGGAGCCCTACACCACAATTACATTATGCGGCTGTGTTTAATATGGTGATGACAAAAACCGGAGACACTTTTTACTATTTTTTTATAGGAGATGGGGAAACGAGCATACGGCTCACCTGATGGTAAGTGATTATCGCCGCCCATGAACAACTGCAACAGCTAGGGAATTGCAGATGCGTTGCCAGCCTTTTACAAAGGAGTACGCTCTTTTCTTGAAGGTCTCTAAGTCGTATCGGTCCGGAAAAATCACTGGTGGTAGTCGATTCCTCAAGGAAGTTGTGCGAGGAAGAAAACTTCTTTTAAATCGCACAGTGGTGGACAGCCAGTCATGCAGATGGTATGGATGGTATCGCGAGTTTTGTCGCGATGTACGATAATGAAATTGTGCGGCTGGAATTAGTCCGAACAATTACTCAGAGCACTTCCCGTGGTAAATGCGATAAAATACGCAAAGAGATGCAACATTTCTTCGCAGTGCCAGTGAGTCAAGCCGATCGGAAAGAGTTCGACGAGAGAAAGATGCGATCAAATGGAAGAAGCTCGCACTGGGGAGCCCCAGCCCAGAGATGGGAATAGTATTCCATGATCCATGTGCGACCGAACCTGCGCCTTGCAAAGTTGGAGGCGGTGTGCCGCATGAAATAAAACTGGTACTAGTAGCGAGCTATGGCATTCCATCCGGTGATGACGTATACTGCAACTAATCTTAAAATGGTTGTACTGGGAGCAGTATATGATAGCTGTTGAATTACGGATTCAAAGCCACGATTTTCGCTTTCAGAGATTATCAGCAACTGTCGCTAAACTAAAATATAACGTAGTTTTCCAATTTTGTTTTTATTTTTTGCAGGGCCTAGATAAAATAGTTTTCCTTCCATTCGCATATCTCCTTGATCTATTCCGCTACGGAGTGTTTCGTGGTACGACCACACCCGACAACTACAATTGTCACTTCTGGCAACTTCGGGAATCGGTGCAAGGTGTGGAACCACCAGCACCACGAAGCGAGGAAGATTTCGATCCAGCAGCGAAATATCATGTTGCTGCTGATGTCGAATATATGAGGTAGGTTGTGATCTATCTTTCCCTTTTATTTTTAACGAAGTAAATATGCCTAATTTCGTCAAGTTTTAAGTTCGAATTCTGATACACTCCTGATATAATCATTTTTATCGTATCTGGAAGTGAGCATGGGTACATTAGTATGCAAATACCATTGAATTACTAATGTTCTATTAATAAAAAAAATATTTTAAGTTATTGAAGGAGGAATATTGGGTGTATTAGTAGTATTCTTATTATCTTTACTAAAAACGATAAAAAACTGCCTTTACTCACAAGAATTGACTTCAATTTAAGTAATGCTTGAAATGCTTTCTCTTTCTTCATAATATCACAATAGAAAAAGACAGATACATAGACAGATAGAGACAATGAATGCTAAAGTTAAGCAAGCGATAATTAACGTATATAAGTATAGCAGACAGTCATTAGTATAAGTTTTTCATGCACAAAAACGACATGACGGACTAAGTGGTTATTAGAGTGATATAAGAGATATTGGCTATTATTATAGCTTATTTGTAATTTTTGTTGTGCAAATGGACACAAACTAGCACTATTTCAGTTTGCCCTCAGTTACACGTTATGGGAGAACGAGCGCAAATAAATTAATCTTTACCAAGCTAAAATAATGTGACGTCATGAATTTTTTCCTAGCGTAAATAGACTAGAAGTTTAGTTTCGCTGTCTGACGTTACATTATCGTAATTAAAAGTTAATGTACTAAGGTGTCGGTAAATATCCGGTCTATTCTATCCGTATAAATAGTAGGCAGTGATGTGAAGAATTAGAAATCCCTATTGCCTCTTATATATCGTGTATAATGCTAATTGTATTAGTTCCGAAAGGGCCGTATACTCTGTGTGTTCCATGGCCTTTACATGGTCCCATGGTAATTATATCAATACCTATGATTTTTACTTTCTTTGCCAAAATTTTAAAGTGTTCGCTGGTGTTAAATAGGTTTCTTTATTATTGAGGAGTACAAACACGAACACGATGTGTTTTAAAAACAATAGTAAAAAGGCATGCGGAAAGCTAGGTGATAATATAATATATGGAAAATTATAAAACAAAACATTTTTCAAAAAAGCTACAATGTCCATTGTGCTAAAAATTCCTATACCTCCTCAGGATTTTTGATTATAGTCTGCCCGCTTAGATACGGTCGCCTTTGTGTCGCGCCGGCATGCCTTTGGCACGTGCCGCATCTTGTCATGTTGTTGTGCGACTTTCACTCGCCGGAGCCATTTGCTACCTAACTTGTGTTTATTATTTATATTCGTATTTTATCACAATAACTACAAGAGTAAAATAGTATTCCATTTTATTTTTAGAACAGAAAAAAAAATTTAACAAACAGTAAAAATAATAAAATAAAAGCAAAATAATAAATACCCCTCCAGGTGTAACGACATATCTTACTGAACAGACTATAGTTAAATTTTAGAGTTTAGTGCTAATTTCTGGGTTTTCTGTTTAGAATACTAGCTAAGCTAGAACGAGTGGAAGAGAATAAAAATAAAAATTTCGTTAACTATTGAAACTTCCGTTAATAATTATCAGTCAGCTGTTTTGTTCTTTCAGATATTACATATCCTATATAATCCAGTTCCAATTCCACCGATCCCTGTGCCAACTGGCTGGCGAGTATACACCGGATGACTCCAGCAAGCTTCTGTCCAACTGCGATATTTACAAAAGTACTGCAGCTGGGAATGCTTTGGGGTAAAGTTTTCAATTTTTTTTGCTAGAATTAAGATTTAAAAACGAGCACACCGTCCACCTGATTGTAATTGGATGCTGTAACCGAGAGACGTATAATATTTCCTCGATTAAGAATCAATGATGAAAGATTTGTCACACTTAACGACTTATATGTATAATTATAATATGAAATAATGCAGCTGTGTTTCGTACACAACCGCTCTGCGCTGGATGCGGTCAAGTGGAACATGAATGAAATTGAAGTGAAAATTAAAATAACTGGCTTCTATTAAGCTCGGGAGAATATTTGCATACTGTTAAGTCAAAAATAACCATTTAAAAATGTCTGTCTGTCTGTCTGGGCTCACTTTCATAATGGCTGAACCGATTGTGATGAAACTTTATGATCAGATAGAGAGCAATGCCGGGATCTAGGCTATATTTTACTCGGAAAAGGGTCTTTAATTATATTAAATTTAAACAACGCCGCATTAATAGATCATTTTACAGGCGAAGTCGGGGCGGGTCGCTAGTTTTTAATAGAACTATTTTCTCATTAACTTTTGACCAAATAATACACACGGGGAGCGATTCTTTTGCTTTACCATCGCATGACAAATGCTATGCATAGCATGCACATGCTATACAACGCAACACAAGTTTTGAAAATTATTTCTTTTTAGTAAAATGCTGCAACTTGGTTCATCCAAGCCCTGGCCAGATGCGATGCAGATGCTCACTGGACAACGGAACATGGACGCTAGCGGAGTCCTCGAATACTTCCAACCTTTGCATGAGTGGTTGAAAGCGGAGAACGAGCGGACTGGAGAGTACATTGGGTGGGAGCCCAGCACTGTCCGTAAGTCTCGTCATTCAGTGTAGATCGTTCAATCCTTTTAGACATATTCTGTAATATTTTCTCTTGATAGTTGGATCCGTAAGTATCCTATTTTGTACCGTGGACAACTGATCCCAAGAAAGGTTCTCGAGTGGCAGCCTCTTACTGTTAAGCGGAGCGAAGGTCGGTCCCCACCTAGATGGATTGACGACACGTTAAGATATGCTGGAAATCGATTGATGCGGGTGGCTCAAGACCGTGTTTTGGGGCATTTCAGGGGGAGGCCTTTGTAGTTTGTGAGGGACAGTAATAATAATTATGATACTGTAATAAATTATATCACTTCTGATGTTAAAAAACTATTCTGAAAATTGTTTCATTAATAGAATATTACTCGTATTAGAAATAACTCTCAAGGTTAATTGTTAAAAATGATAAAAGTGTGAGAGCGGATGTTTAACTTGCTCTCTTGCTTACGCAATTAATCAGGAATGAGACAGCGTACTGTTCAGACGTTGTATACAATTCGACCAACCGTAATATGTACCGGTCACAATCACACATTGGTGTAACGTGAAGGCTATAATTACATGATAACACCAAAGTATGCAAACCAACAGCAATACCCATCTCAATGTAACACAGGGCAGCCTCTCAGCAACACGATCTTCCTTGCTTACACTAGAAGAACTAGTACAACGAACAGAACCACGTCGCTTGTCTTACTTAGGCATAATATCAGTGTAGAGGTAAAGTTTTAACCCAACGGGCATAATAACGACAGTGAGATTCCGCGACATGAGAATTATCGAGTAATCCCTCTTAGTAGCCTGTGCAATACTTTATTTTGCTAGAACAAGTGACAAATTACCGTTCTACCTTCATTTGTTCGTATTTCTTTTTATTTTTTTACCCTTATTCCCAAAAATACATTTGAAAATTCCAAGTTAGTGTACTCGAGTTTGGAGAACACGAATGGTGATATCTAATAGATTAGGGATGTAGGGATGAGTATATATATACTCACACATAATATATATATATATATATATATATATATATATATATATATATATATATATATATATATATATATAGTAGTATATAGATGAGTAGAGTTTGATATTAAATGGTTTATGACTGTCTTTAAGTCATTAAACATTTAATTTCAATTTTGCGTTTCTATATGTTAAATCTTGAAGGAACCTTGTACGACTACTTCATACTGTATTAAGAAGCAACATTGATGACTTCTTTTTTGTTGTAGAATATTGTACTGAAGAACAAAAATCTGAATTGGAAAATTCAGAGTTCAAGAGAAGATTGAATAAAGTAACCGGTTGAGAGGTAACATTTGTGTATATAACTGTAAATAAAATGATAATTATAACTGCTAAATTTGTTTCATTTATTTTTCTTTGATATACTTCATTAGAAATGTTTAAATAATTAAGATATACATCAATTTCTATTTATTTATTTATTTAATCTTTGGATTAAAACTAACTTTACGTGTTTTATTGCGATTAACACGGTTGGAACGAAGTTGCTTTCGTAGTATATTATTATTGATAAACGTATTATATTATTGATTAACAAATTCAAATAAATGAATTACTAGCGTCTATTAAAATGGACTGTCATTTAAAATAATATTTCTTTCATGGCAAGATAAGAAAAGTGCAAGGGAGATGGATATTATTCCATCTCGCTCGCACTATAGAAAAGGTCGTGACGGAAAAATCTTACACTTTTTCTCGCCTAGCCCCCATCCGCCAAATTCGTACAGTGCGATAAGGAACTTCGTTCCAAAAATTATTTCGCTTCGCGTTTAATTAAACTTCTTTTAGTAAATTAAAAGCGATTAAAAGCGAATAACTCCATAAAATAATTTTTGTTCTATGTAAATATTCGCGTACTTACGTAGTATTTAAATCTTAGACAACGTATAGAAGCAATAAGTAGCTTTACTGTTATAAAATTCTCTGCCATACGATGTTTTGACAGATAGATATAATATCTATTAACTATTAGCTGTTCCCCGCGACTTCGCCCGCGTGGAATTATTTTTCGCGGCACCCTAAAATAAAAGCAGCCCAAGTTACTCCTTATAACATCAGCTATCTGCCTGTGTGTATAAATATTGACAAACATTGACATTAAAATTTATACGATACTAACACTAACTTTATGTTATGGTATCAAAGTTCAAATTAACTTTTAATTATTATTACGAATCTTTTGTATGGGAATATAGAAAAGTGTTGTTTTTGACTTGTTCAGGCAATTTTTTAAATTTTTCTCTCCGTAAGAATCATCTTCTTACTTCAAGGAATATTATAAAAAAAGAAGTAGCGAAATCGGTTCAGCTGCTCTCGAGATTTGCGTTTAGCAACACATTCAGCGATTCATTTTTATATTATAAAGATTAAAAATTGGGAAGATGAAATGAATAAATAGGCAAACAATTTTTTTAAGTGATGGCAGTGTAATTAAATCCTTCGCTAAAATATTTTGTATTAAACGGAACTGTTTATTTCATATTATTACAGAAGAAATTCAAGTTCGTACCCCGAAGACGTAAGTAAAATAGCTATATAGCAAACTTAAGTGCTGCTATTAGTTCAAATTGTTTACGTAGTAGAGCCATGCTGCAGCTGTATTATATACCGGAGAAAAACTACGCTCTCACAGAATACCAGCGTAAAATAGCAGCATAATGCTGCCGTGTTTCGTATTTTGAGAGTACGAGACATACTATCATAGTCCTCAGTGGTCACAACTCATCTGCATTTTGATTCTTAATCGAGGATAAATTTAGATGTATATGGGCCATAGGATCTACTTACCGTAAGATGTGTGTGAATGTGTGTTAGTTTGTTAGCCTTATTCTATAAAAAAAATTGAGGACATGTCTGGGTAGGTACAACCCTCATACTTATTTCAGCCGACAAATAGCAGTGCTTACACTGCTGTGTTGTGGTTCCTTGTGGTTATACCCTTTAATAGACAGCCAGCATAACTACAGGCTGTAGTCAGACATTCAATCTTAGTCCCGTATTAATAAACGTTACTCAGCTCAAGTACATGTATTTGAGTACAATCTTAAGGTTATAATCTTATTAATAAACATATCTCAAGATGCGGCGTAGGTTTACGATATCACCTGAGTGACGCACTGATTAATAAACTAAACTTGCCTCTCAAGTGTGTATACTTGAGATGCTTAAATCTGAATGCGGGCAGTCCGTGACTTAAGATCATGTCGTTGAGTAACGTCTATTAATACGAGCCTTAGTCTTCAGAGGGGACACCGCATCTGTAGCCTTCTTTGTTTGAATTTGGCTGCAGTGTCAATGGACTGCAGCAGCTATTTCAAATTAGTTCGTTTATCATTTTAATTTTACCTTTTGTAAACAAGTTGTAAAATTTCAAAAGGTTCACATAGAAAAGCTTTATGAGATAACAACACACAAAAAGACAGTCGAATTGAGTACCTCCACCGTTTTGAAGTCGGTTAAAAATGTTGTACAACTTTTACGATAAAAGTACTTTTTACATTTATATTGAAATAGAAAATATTAACGGTGCCAATAGCTATTGTGTCATTATTGAATTAACATGAGTTTGTAACCCCTATTTGATGGTATGTTGCAATAAAGGATAAGAAAAATTATGGAAAATGTCAGAAAAATATTAAGCTGAAGCTTTCGATGTATGATGGCAAAACCATCACTTTACGTCTGCCAGATATAACAATAAAGGCAAATTGGCCCTACAACGGGAGAGGATTTTGTTCAGGAGAGAATTTTTAGACACTGTTGAAGATAAATAAGAAAGTCTCGCTATGGGCACGTTTTTCATTTAAAGCATAATATTACAAAGCGTCGACATCTTTTTCGTTTTGTTATTCGCTAGGTCATGGCAATGTTACCAGTCATTGTGTTATTTCCTGCCATTGAAAACAGTTACGAAGTCTAGTACAACAGAGTTTGACAGGACTTAAAATTACTCAAGAATTTGTAAGTATAATGTAATTTTAAGATCGGTCCAATTATTCATTATTTTTTCATTTTTTTAGAATAAGAGGAAAATAAGGATGACAAACGAGCTCACAGTCCACCTGATGATAAGTGGATGCTGTGACATTTATATTATATCCTCGATTAAGAATCAAAATGTAGATGCGATGTTACCCCTGATCACAAAGATAGGATGCTCTGTTACCAGTAAAACTGGTCTCAGGATCTGTACCTACTGGCCATACAAAACCCAGCAGCATTGGGCTGCTGGTAACTGCTAACCGGCTTTCATATGGCATCAGTATTTATTTCCAGTCATGGAGCAGGTGAAAGTAGAACTCAAATAGAAAATAGCAAATCCCTTCGATAATAATTTTAAAACCCAACAGTATCTTGACTGTCTTATTTAAAAATAACATTTGGTATAAAAATATTAATTTTAAAAGATAATATGCGAAAATCAAGTCAAGGTGCTGTTTTTGTTTTTGGAAGTAATTTTTATTTGCTGACATCCTGACAAACATTCAGAACTCAGTTAATCCTCATCTATCTCTCTTCATTCTCTCCGTTTTGGTGATGAGACAGTGTAAACATTGCGTTATTAAGTATATATTTCACTAAAACATATGTTTTTATTCCCTTCATACCGGTAGTCGGAGAGATAAATGGCTAAGCGTAATCATCTGTAACAAATGTGGTTTGAAACAAATTACTCTAAAAGTTACATATGTCAATTATATTTTTTGTTTACTGCCTCATATTTAAGGTGGTGTCTGTTTTTCAACGTATATTAGATACTAGTCTTTTTAGTTCAGTTTTTATTTTAAATTGTCATGACTAATATCATTAGACGACGGTGATGATGATTTAATTAGTACACTTTGAATGGTATATTAAAGTGCACTGCTAAGCAAAGGTTTACACTGTAGATAGACTCGTATATTTGCCATAGAAGCCAATTGGTAGCCGGATCGGAAACGGTTTTCATCCATCTCCTGTTTGAGTTTCTCTCTGTCGCCTCCTACGACCCATGGAATGATGTTGATGTGCGGCAAGGTTTCTTTTACAACATGTTTAAATATCATTTTATAATTATTTTTATTACGATAATATTTTAAATAAAATATAGGAATATTATCGCCATACAGTTCATTTTACGTAAGTAACAGTTTCGATTCCCGGCGGTATCAATAAAATTGATACACTGTGACGAAATCTGCATGACTGAGGAAAAAAAATGTTTGAAGACATGTTAAGTTCACAAGCACTCACAGGAATAGTGCGGTGAATTGATGGCTCGATAACCTTTTCAGAAGTTAGAAGAGGTCTGTGTCCAGCGGTAAGAAATGTATAGTTGGTAGGTCTAGTTGGTCGCGAATTATGAGGTCTCAAGTTCCAGTGCCGGTTTAGTCGAATAATCAGTTATTAAGTTTACCTGTCAAGAAACTTTAAAGAAGTCCGTGTTAGCCTTTACTTTCTCTGTTTCAGCCAGCGTGCCTTGAAAAGCTGTGTGGCCCAAAAAAAACAGCTATTGAGTTTTTCAGTTAAGAAATTCTTAGTAACACCAAGAGTCGGGAAGTTACCCTTAGGTTCCTCGGAACTTACTTTAGGAATCTCTGCTTTAAAGAAACCATCCTCAAACCCGATGCTCTCAGCGCTGTAGCTACACAGCACAGAAACAATTTGCATTTCAACGAATGAGTGTAACAGGTAAAATAATTTTTAATAACATCACTGTATTTGCAAACAATGGATGATTCATTACGAAGTTTCATGTTTGGAGCATTTAATTAGACATATTAAGTTGAAATATATATAACCGGATAAGTTTTTCCCTTCGAAAGGGTTATCCACCTTTGATTTAAGAGTTTAAGAGCAATAAAACGCTTAGAATATCAAATGTGATGTGACTCCATTTCAGCTTACCTCTAGGAGTCTGCTGGGTGAGTGCCAACCTTCTGCATGTTTATGACGTTAAACAGCAATGTATTCACTATTGTATTCCGATTAAAAGTGTATGGAGTGTCTGTATAATTACACAGCCTTTACTAGCTAATGAAGAAGAAGATAAATATCAAATAAGATATGAGAAAAGATTGACATGAGATGAGATGAGAGACAAGGATCCTGTGCTGACAACTATGCATCACACTGTTGGATGAACATCTTTACCTTTTTTTATAGGATAAGTGACAAACGAGCACACAGTCCACCTGATGGTAAGTGGTTGCTGTGGTCCATAGACATCTAAATATATCTTCGATTAGGAATCAAAATGTGATCTCGTTGTCACCCGTGAGGACTAAGATGCAATGCCTTGTT